GAATTTAATTGATTCATGTAGTAATAATAAGTATAATAAGTAATAATAAGTAATATATAAGTAATTGATAAAGGCACGCCTGAAGGAGCTACTGTATAGCGAAACACTAAACTTTCGGTTTAGTGAAAATCTCACAATGAAGTGTTTTTTTTTGAAAACGTTATGGATTTTCATCAAGTATCAGCCGATGTCATCACACATAAACCATGGGCTGAAAAGTCCCGGGCCTAAGAAATAAGCGGTTTTTTTTTATCAAAATGTAATCTCCATCAAGAGCCACACAATCATTCCAGAACCGTTCAAACATTTCAATACCACTTTCGTAGAACCATTTGTCTTTTGCCTCAAAATCGGCCTCAGTTTCAGCAATAACCTCTTCATTCGAGAGAAATTTCTTATCGTTGAGCATTTTTTCTGAGGTCTGCTAACAATCCCTTATATATTAATTAGAAAACTAACTTGTTCCCGTAAGTGTGGATTTCTTTCAGTTCTAATATATCATTATTTTCAGCCATCGAACATCCTTAGGGCTGCCTTGTACCCATTAACGAAACTTACATCGATAATAGGTGATACATGTAAAGTTTCTCATGCGATATTCCTATCAATAATACGAAACAAGTGGCCAGCAAGTTTACCTGACCTACCACTTTGATTTCTTTGAAAAGTCACTGGAACATTTACCAAAACATTTATTCAGACTAATATGATCTCAGTTTATTCAGTATTAGTATATTCAAAATATTACTGTGGTTTTCAAGACTCTTACAATTTTTTCCTTTTCAGCTATATTGCAGAGGACGGCAGTTGGAATTGGTCAAATGAAAATTCAAGGAGTTGCTACCTGTCAGTATTTATGCATGGCCAAGTGTGGATTGCTCTATGGATCGGTAGGTTGAACATAGTATCGACTCCTCAATGATTATACTAATAATAAATATTACTGGAGTTTTTTCCCAACACCAAATCGTTATATTTAACACCTCGACACGTGTTTCTATCAACAAGTGATCATCTTCAATAAATTAATTTAGGACACCAAAGGTGTGGTATACCTGTATGTGGTACACCTGTATGGTATACCTGTATAGTATAAATAGGATTAGCCTTACAAGTTTTTTTCAGTTTGATCTTCCTCTTGAAGATGATCACTTGGTAATCGAAACACGTGTCGAGGTGTTAAAAATAACGATTTGCTCTTGGGAAAAAACTCCAGTAATATTCATCACTACACCAAAAGTTCCAAACAGTGCATCACAAATACTAGTAATAAATGACTATAATATATTTATTTCCATAGAAAAATGAAGTAATGCAATATGGGAAGACGGAAATACGTGAGTTTTGACCATCAGAGGCCTTCTAGGATTTGTTCGAAGTTGATCTATAAAAAGAGGTCAATAGAGTAATGAATGAGATTTCGAAATATTTATTTTCTTATACGTATGTATCTCTCCTCGATGCAGTCTTCAAACACGGTTTGATCTCTGTTAAAGTATCCGTGCAAGGGATGTTTTGGGGCACTTGGGGCTTAGTTCACGAGATGGAACTGTTACTAGTTAACAATATTTCTCTTAAACGAAGGTTTCATACATGCAGTCGAGCAGCGTTGAAATTAATAGAGTCCCAGGCACATTGATGTCTGGATCAAAGCTTTCCTATACTCATGAGAGGTTATAGCTCATAACCGGACTGTAGGTGATCTGCTTGAATAATTTCAGCATAGTCCTGCTGCTGGATGAACGAGGCATAGCATAAATGTCACTCGGATTTAATTAAATATCAATCGTGGTATTAGCTGGGGAAATAGTTGTTTTCCGGCAGGTATTTATCAGAACCTACTGTGTAGGTAATTGGGAGAGATAAATGTTTCGAAATTACATTTCGAAATAATAATTTTCTTATACTAAATAATAAATAACTGAATTTGCTTTTGAAGTATCATTATGACTGAAGAAAATTCTATTTTGTCTGTATGAAAGTATGTTGATATTTAGTACACATTGTGTCCTTTATATTCAACAAAGTTTGAAACTGTGCATTTGAAATACTTATGGAACACCGTTTTACTTTTTATTGTCACAAATATTCATTCCTCAATTTATTCAACTAACAATGTATTTGTTTGAATTTAATTGATTCATGTGTTCTATTTTAAATGACACTTGATTTAAAATGTTACATGAATTAATTTGTTTGATGAAAAGTTGCGAACAGTTATAATATAGATTCATTGTTTGAAATTTTTGGAAGTAAATGTTTGTCATATATACTTTTTTTGTAACTATCGAATAATTTACTACAATTTCTGTGAAACATGAATAAAATGGTTTGTTGATAATTATAGTTACATGAATTAAAACGATTGTTGATAATTTTAATTCGGCGCTAGCGTCGAACGGATTCTTGCAGAAGCTGAATTTTTAAATCTGGCAACATGATAGTTTAGTGATAGTAACACAATATTCCGTCCGACCGCAGCGCCGAATAAAAATTATCAACAATCAATTTAATTCATGTATNAAAAAGTGTCATACCTAACATTTTAAATCAGGTATCATTTAAAATAGAACAAATTTTGCGAACAATCGTTTTTAATGTGTCGAACAAATGCATGAGTCAATTAAATTCAAACAAATAAATTGTTAGTTGAATAAATTGAGGAATGAATTTTTGTGACAATAAAAAGTAAAACGGCGTTCCATAAATACTCGTGTCATGAACAAAATGTCACAGTTCATATCCATGTGTATTCGAATATATAGAGAAATTAAATTTATTTGACATCCTTTACAATAAAAATGTTTGGTGCAGGTCGTTGTTGATATGGGATGGTTTTAGTATTCGAGAGAGATGCTTAAATATATACAGAGTGTGTATTAAACATGCGGCAAAAATTTAAGTGACTATTGCTTGTACTATTCTAAGGATATTTTGTTCTTTGATGATTTCTAATAGGGCAATTTGTTTCGAAGATACGGGGCGAAAAAGAATTTTAACAATAACAATTTATTACCAAAAAGTACATGTAATGTTTCTCAAGAACTTATCAAAATGAAAACCCCCCGCTCGGATGCAAGAATCCAATCTTCTCCTCATCGACTCCCGAACTCTTTCAAAAACACCACGATCGTTTCTATTCGATTTTTCAAATCTTCCAAATGGTTCCACTAGAGTAGTATAAACTAATGACTTTAGGTGACCCCATAGAAAATAATCCTTATCAAAAATCATCAAAGGACAAAATATCCTCAGAATAGTCTAAGAAATAGTCCGTTGATTTTCTGTCTCATGTTTAATAGACACCTTGTGTAGTAAACTTCGTAATTCCTTAGTTACATGATTTGTGTGAATATTCCATCTTAGTGGTTGTCAATATAAGCACCTAAGTAGGTGATTTCCTCAACATATGCAAGATATATGTGTGTATCATTAATTACTACTAACTACTCACACACTTCTTTATTGAATGATGAAATCAACACACGAGGCGTATTCATGATTTATTTGCAACATATCGAATAATGAACTTGTTTATCACGTCCGATGCAACGGAACGGGAAACCACCAGTATCCAAAATTATCTCAATAATAATTGGTCAGGTTTTATTATTTTGGTACTTTTCACGGTAGAATTCATGGTGAAAAACTCAATTCATGTAATGTTTTTATCAGTTAATTCATGTCATGAACAAACTCAAGAAACTATTTCATATATCAAAATTGTTAATCGTGTTCTACAAATCACCCATAATAGTTTACAAGAAGATAAACTACCAAGCGGTAAATTTTGATTCACTAGGTTTGTAGTTCCATTTATCATTCTATTTTCGTCACTGAAAACTCTTGGACATAAATTTTCCTGATAAATGGAAATTTGTCACTCAGTTTCAATACTTTCAATACTCTTCAGCAATATAATTAAAAATTACTTCACAATATATTCATAATTACATACTTTTTTTTCTTTGGAAAATCAACCTGATTTCAATTACTTTTCCAAGGTTTTTGATCAGGTCAAGCATGCCATTCTAGATGAAAAGCTGAGCAATGTTGAGTTTTGATAACTGGTAACTCTAATGGATGGGCCAATGTTATTTTATATTTACCAGATCGTCAGTGATTATTGATTCTCACTTACTATACCTGGCTTAGGTAAATTACGTAAAGCGGGTTTATGTTAATTCAGGTAGTCTGGTGTGATAATACCTGAGCCTGGATTTGGTAAATCGTCAATAACATTCATTGACCTTTTTCTACCAGCCGACATGCTGTTGACTATTTTTGTACTTCTTAGAACGGGATTCCATATTCGATTGAGGTTCACCGCTTCTTCTTTTCTCTTGAAATTATCCGTGTGTTTGTCGATCTCAACTGCCTCTTGTACTAGTCGGCTATGGTATCCCTATGGTACGGGAGGCAATAGAAATCCACAAACACACGGATAATTTCAACAGAAAAAAAGAAGGCTGTGAACCTTAATCGAATATGGAAGAAGTTCAAATTCCAAAGATCCACGGCCTTCAAATCCGGAAAATAGTGACACTAGGTTAGGTTAGGTCCAAAGTGAGTGGTTCTATTCGACCTCCCACCGCAACCCGCAAGGGTTTATTGTGGCTCACACCTATTCATACTCGACCAAATAAACCCAGCTTCTTAACGAAGCCGATTAGTTTGTATGGTGAGTGTTCTTTCAGGTCAGATGGTGGAATTACGACTCTGCCGAACTCTAGAAACCTAATTCGATCCCCAGCGGGGCAGGCACAAAGTATATGCTCTGCTTTCATCATTAATAGTGTAGTCGGGTAGTCAAGGTGCAAGATTCTCACCTTGATACCCGTGACAACCTTCCCATATGAGGGTTTTTGCACGTCAGCTACACCTGACGATACCTTAGATTCAACCGTGCAGGGCTTTTTTGCCTCTGGTTTTGGTGAATCATCACTTGAGCACAAACGTTTGCTAACCTGCTCATGGGGGGTTTGTTCCTCCACCTGAGACAGATTCTGTGTACGCCGCTCAAGAATTTGGTGCAAGGCGGTTTCATAAGGTGCCCCGCTCTCGAAGAGTCGACTCAGTCGTTTCCTGACTGCACCACCAAACCTTTTTTTATGGTTCAGTTATTGGATCAGGTGTTGGAGAGTTGAGAAGCTCTCGCTCCTGATCTATGTTTACAGAGAGGTCACTTGGAGTCGTAAGCTCGACATCCATCTCCTCTGTAGACTCAGCGTCTGAAAAAAAATTCAAGTTTACCCTGTCCTTAAAAGTCCCACGAGTAGCTAGGGACAGAAGGTTGATCACGGCAGAGTCCCGCATTACCGTGACAAGGCGATGCTACGACGAGAGGACACCTGGTATCTCGAAGGTTCCGTAGAGACAGCTGAAGGCTTAGTGTCATTCATCCTCTCGGCACGGATAAACACACCTTTGGATTAGGTCATCGTTGGGATGCCATTCAGTTAGGGAATAACAGAACCTCAAGTGATTCTGTCATTCCCGTATCCGATGGCCAATTTGTTCAACCCCCACATCCCATAAGCCAATGCACTCGCCAAAAACAGCATGCACAATGGTTCAGGCAGTGAAAGATGAACAAGAACAGCCAACCCACCACTGACACTAACTCCATATATTTTATATATTGTTCAAGACTTGGTAGCCTCAGAAATTAGGATTTTTTTTACCGAATAAAAAATGTACATTTGAAAAAATGTTTCAGATCAAGGAAGGAATCACACGTTAAAAGGTAAGACCCCGTCAGTCCTTAGCTCCCACAAGTTTCTGAACTTCTAAGAGTTGTCGTTCGTATGGGGGCGACAGCTGATTAACGGAAAAACAGATTTTAAACAGATTTTAACAGAAGAATGCGTATGTTATTTTTGACGACAAT